AAAAAAAACGTTTCATTAGAGATAACTCCAAGAAAATTTCAGAAAAAAGCCTGCACATGTCGTGGTACCGGAGTTTATCCACTCATATTAAGGTATTGGTAACAAGATTTCTGAATATTTATTTTGTAACAGGAAAAAACATGATGACGATAACAGATAAAACACCGGTATGTTTCACGTAGATCTAGTTACGAAATCGACAAGAGGATTTGAAATAGAGCATCGACAACGCAACAATAAAGTGACGGGATATTTTGGATCACTTAATCTAAAAGAGACTGAGCTGAAACATCGTCAGTAGGCTTAAATGGGAGAAAGAGAGGGCCAGCATGAAGATGATGAACTGCACCTATTTATCTCATCTGAATAATACCAGCATCGCGCAATTTCAGCAGCTTCGCGGCTATCTCGGGATTCTGCAGGTGCTCTCTCACTGCTCCAGGATCCTAAGTTGAACAACTTGAGCACATATTGGCAATACAAACATATACTAGGCGATGGCTAATGCTCAAGATTAATAGGACTGATAGAACTAACCTGACTCATCTGTTCCAACAATAATCGCATTCCAGGATCACGCAGGATAGCTTGAACTTCAGGATCTTCTAGAGCTCTTTCGCGCGCCTATACCCATAGTTATAGATTAACATGTTTTTAGAAGTAAATTAATCTTACTTTTTCTGGGTCTTCATCATTGTCACGGAAGCAGGTACGCAGGCCTTCAAGTGCTTCTGCATTAGAAGGGTCTATGACAAGAGCGTCTTCGTAAGCTCGTTTGGCTTTCGTCCATTCACGCATGGCAGATAATACGGCACCTTTTCGTATATATCCCTTGACTGAAAATTGTCATGGAATATAATACGTTTGAACGAGATGGCGTAACATCGGCCACTTTTCCAATGATCTCGTCTATGAAAGAACTGAAGAGAAAATAAGCTCAGGAGGAAATCCCAAAACCCTCCTTCTCTCTTAAGAAAAGAAGAAAAATTCCAGTAAATAACCACAATGTATGCTTCTCGCTCTAGTTATAAAGTAAATGAAGATGAGGTAAGTGAAAATGGGTAATTCGAAAACTTACTAAATTTAGGATCACGTTTGATACAGTGTTCGCAGTCGTCAAGGGCACGTTGGAACTCCATGAGCTTCGTATAACAGGCAGCACGATTTGAATAGAGAATAGCGTTATCTGGATCACGTTTAACCGCCTCGTTGTAGTGCTTCATAGCACCAGGATAGTCACCCTTCTTGAACATGATAATATTGAAGTAACCCATCATTTCACATAGTCACCATATAGAAATGTATGAAGCCATCCAAAATCGAAAAAAGAGAACTTGCCTTAAACAGTTCATTTCCAAGATTCTTTTCTTGTTGTGCTAATTCGGGATTAATATATGCCAAACGTTCCTTCTCTTTGATTTCCTTCTCCAACTCCCTAGCTTTTTTAACAACTTCCTAAAAGAGAATCATAAGTAATCATCCTAAACCTAAGGGTGCGTTCTCTCCTTTCCTTATCGACATCTTTCTACATAGTAATCCTAGGTCTGGCTGATAGGAGAAAATGAACGCTTTTCATCGCTTGCAAAAGCCATATTCGAAGTTACTTGCACGCTAGCTGCTTTGGTAGGGTGATAAAGCAGGAACAGCGGATTTCCTAGCATGTAACAATATGCGTGAAGCTGTTTGGACATTATAGAGTACAGACGGAGGAAATCTGTCAAAAAGCAGTGGAGAGAACGTTATCAATGCATGTTACGGGTTCGCTGGTTTATAGAGGGATAGAAAAAACAAACTCACTGGGTCCCTATGTTCGGAGATCGACTTTTCAAACCAGTTCAGGGCTTCTTTATAATCTTCCTTCTTAGAAAATGCATTACCAGCCCGAGCCATCGCCCTTAACAAGATGATAGAGAGAAAGCGTTACAGTTTGGTTAATGGAAATTGGAACACCGATTGATGTTGAATAGCGATTAAGACAAGAAGGTAAATTTGAAAAAAACGAACTTAGCAATCAATTTGAAATCGGCGCGTTGTTCGCGTCCCACTTCTACAGCCTTCTTACACATCTCCACACATTCATCGAATTTCTGCTCTTCGAAGAAAGCAGCTGCAAAAAAATGATTCCTTAAACTAATCCAAAGCAGGGATTGAAGGCAATCCACTTTCTTCAAGATTAACGCGAGAAAGAACCATACAGCAATTAATACAGGATCATGTCCCGAAAAGTTACCAGATGTCTACAGCTAACAAGAAGCCCAAAAAAACTAGTAAGAATTTCTCGATAATACTCTTCAACAACAATACCTCTCTTGCTTTCCACAATAAATGAAAATTTCAAATGGTAAAGAGAAAAAACTATTATAATGCGGAAGTCAATGATCTGTATAAAAACAAGAAAAAGTCTATACGCTAGCTATATTTCTTGCAATAATAGTTGCTATAATGTTATTGCCCAAATTAACAAATGGTACAGACCTGCCTTATTGGTGTAGAAAGTGATGTTGGTAGGGTCAAGCTCGATAGCCTTGTCATAATGCTTGTGAGCTTCCACAAAATTTTTTTGCTTATACGCAGCGTTGCCCAGATTTTTCTCAGCTACAGCCTGGAAATTAAAAAAAAAA